ATTATTCAAATTAATAACGTCTGTAAGATGAGTCTTTTATTTTTAGCGTGTTCTTTAAATGTTGTAATTTAATTATCTAATGATAATATTAACAACAACAACGCAGTGTTAAAACAATAGAATAAGAATAAAACGCTCGACATGACAAGATGAATATGTTGGACGGGATGATGTGTAAAAATAAAATCTATCTGGAAAAGCTGAGGTGGATAATGTGACGTGAAATTTCCAAAGATTTGAAGGGAGAGCAGATGTGTGAGTGGCGTGTGGATCAAAACGTACTGCGATATCATCAGGATTCACTTTTTATTAATTACAGAGCAAGGATCTTAACGTTGGTTGTTCTTTTAGTTGCCGATTGATTTTTATGCAAATATGACACAAGTCTAAACTGGTCCCTGAACTCTTCCTCCTCCCCTCACCGTGATTGTCTCTTCCGCTCACATCACATATTTTCTCTGTTCCTTCAACAAACGTCTCGTTCTGAAACTCTTTCACTTTAACTCTGGAGAGGTCAGCGCGTAATTTCTCCTATAATATTTATTTTATATGGAACGTGTCACTTAAAGAAAAAAGTGAACCAAGGAGAGAAGTCGCGCTCAGCTGTGTGTGTGTGTGTGTGTGTGTAGCCTGTGCAGTGATGATCATTTAAGTAAAGCTTATTAAAGTGAATAAAGTGCGGCCAGTAACCATCCTCCCTGACTCCACTTTTCCTCCACCACACATCCCTCTCTCTCTTTCTCTCTTGCATCTCTTGTCTGAGAGGAGGAGGGGTGAGGAGGGGTGGGGTGTGTGTGTGTGGGGGGGGGGTAGTCCTGCCTCTTTGCCTTCCTCAGATCAATGCCCTGGCCACTCACTTTCTGATGTTGCACGACGGGAAATGCTTTGAATACTTGCGACATGGCTGCGCGCATTGATTGCCAAGATTGACAGCATCAGCTCCGTCTCCTCTTGTCTGGGTGAGAGAGAGAGAAAAAAGGGGGGGAGATAGAGAGAGAGAGAAAGAGAGAGAGAGAGAACAGGTAGTCGAACTACAACAGTCACTTGTTTTTTTTGTGAGTGGGACAGCTGAAGTTCGCAGACAGAGTAGACACGGGGATCCCTCCTGCGCACAGCCGCGTGTGAGTAAGTTTTCCGTCCAGCAGATATAGCTCAGACACCGTCTTCGCGCACAGGCACAAGGGGGGAAGGACGCACGGTTATCGACTCCACGGCCCGGATCCTCAAGGTAAACAACACGTCCCACTCGACTTTGTCAACACGCAACACTGCGGTGTGCTGACGCTTTCATCTTCTGTGTGTTTTTGTTGCCGACCCCCCCCCCCCTCAAAAAAAGTGGAGCGGAGCGCGCTGTCTGTCAGCGGAGCGGCGCGGCACAGACACGGTGCGCGCGGTTCAGCTGGAAAACCACTTCCAGAAAGTAAAGTAGACGTGTTGGGTCCACGAGGTGTGTGTGTGTGAGAAAGAGTGCGTGACCGTCAAAACTTTAATTACCGCGATGATCTGACGCTTCGCTTTCACCAAAACACGCCGAAGTAAGAGGAGGAGGCGGAGAGTGGCGCGTTTACGAGCTGGATTCACCGCGGAAATCAGCGAATCTGAGCGATAACCGACAACTAACTTGGTCACAAGTGAGCCCGGACACATCCTCAAACATCGCTGCCAGGTTTGAAATCACATCTGTTATTTGTTTCTCTTTGTTTATTTCAGCAGCCGTACGAGCGGACACGCGCAGTTCAGGCTCAAACAGCAGAGTTCAGACTGTTGATCGCACTTTAACCAAACACCATAAACCAGCGGTTCTTACTGTTGTGTTAAACGTGGAAATGTTGACAGTGGGTTGGTGTGTGTTGTTTACATGTCCCGTAACTTTCCTCTTGTGCTGGTGGCAGTTTCACTGTGTGTCCACGACGCGGTACCATTCATTGACAGTGACGTGCGTCCCGGCAGCTCTCCTCTTCTCTGAGCTGGACAAGTTTCACGCGAAGCCTTGTTTCTACCTTTTTCCCACATTCCCCTGCTCTTACCCTCCTAACTGCTTCTGTCGTCCGCACATTTTCTATCTGATTTTCTAATTGTCAGAAACCCAGAGTTTGTGTGCGGCCCCGGTTCAGGCTGCTGCTGGGAATCCACTCTTCCCTACAACTTTCTCGGCAGGTCACGGGGAATTGACCCGTAAAGAATGCATAAGCCATAAATTAAATTCAACAATGTCCATTTAGAGGAGATGCACTTGAACGGACTCTTTTTCTTCCATTTACGCAGAAGGCTGTGGAGCTCGGCGGACTCAGCACAAGTTCAGTGTGAAAAGTGCCAACGTGCGTAATACAGCTGCTTTTCTCGCCTTTTATTCTGCCGCTGGTACCAGACAATTAAATAACAATTAATCGGCAGGTCTTTAAATAGAATCATTATTGTTTCGATATTTTTAGATCATAACGTAAACTCAAATTATTTTTTGATTATTTGGAAATCAATTGAAATTTTTTGGATATAATTTTATGATGCACAAAGTTAGTGATTAATTAAGTTTATTATAAAGGTAAAACAAGTTAAATATAACTGATGAAGGGGTGGGATTGGCAGCGTGTTACGCAGACGTGTCTCCTGATTTTAGGAAATTTTCCTAAAACAAATGCAGAAGTTATGGTATTATTTTAATTAGAATAGAAAAAGACCTTAATGACAATACTGTAAACCATTTTAATTCCAACCATATTCATGCGTATTTGTTGTATTTATTAAAAACTGCATACCTGCGTGATTAACCATAAAACACACCTGTGGACAATGGCTTATAAATACACACTCTGCTCTTAAAACTCCTCTATTATAAAAACACATTTTCAGGCTTCTCTTAGAAATAAAATAAAAACCTTGAGTTGTTTGTGCTGAGGTAAAGTTTTGATCCTATGGAGGAGTCGCTCTCTCTCTGTGGACGCAGGTCTCCTCATAAGGTAAGGCGGTTGTGGAGACCAAATGCGAGCCTAAATGGCACGTTTATAATTAGACTGCCCATTCAGCACATTGTCCTGATTGCTATACAGGGACACTCGGCTCTGTCTGTGTCTCTATACGAGTTGGTGTGTGACGGCTGCTGCAGCTCAGCGTGTCGCTCAGCGCACACAGAGCTGAGGAGGGGAAAGAGTGAAAAGCGGCATCACAGCTCCTCTGACGCACAGAGCCCGCACTTTGCTCCCATTTAACATCTCTCACTTATAATTTTGCACACAGGAGGAACACTCTTAATGAACCACCTTATTCCTTTGTGCACTTCTTGGCGATTTTTGCGCACAACTCGGACCATAAAAACCGAGGGAACCTTGTATGTGTGTGTGCGTGTGAATAAGATTTTTGCCTAATCCCCTCACATCACGTCTGCTGTTTTATGTTTCGGGAACATATGTGTTTTTCCATCTGTAATAGCACGATTAAAAACACAAATTGAAAAAAAAGAGTGACAGTCTGTTAGGTGCGTGATGCTGGACCGAGCAATGATATCACATTCATCATGTTTACTGACTTGGCCTCTGTATTTTCAAGGACTTAATCTGAGGGTGGATCTCGGGCTGACTTTAAGCGTTTTTATTTGCAAGACTGAGAAAAGGCACCGTGTCTCCTTCCACCTGGACTCAGCGTGTGACATTTAGATGTATCAGTAAGTTCAACGATTTTTAGGACTTTTATTTTGACACGCAGGGTCTAGAGACGCCACCCGGCTCACTTGTCCAAACAGATCCTGCTGCAGTCTGTCCCGAGTTCAATGTCTCCCGTGTTAAAGAGCAACTCTGCTGCGAGACACATTTATTTTTGCATTATTGCACATTGCTGAGCAGGAGAGGAATAAACCCATCTTTAAAATGTGTTTAGACTAAAAGCCCAAAGATGAATTATATTTCTAGATCTACTTTTTTTTTTATCCGTCCTCCTCATCCACAGGTAGGATGTGTTTGTACTGAGCTCTTGTGCCAGCAATTAGTGGGATCAAAGAAAAAGAGAAAGAGAAAAAAAGAAGAGAGAAGGAGGGAGGAAGGGAGAGAAGGAGGGGAAGGGTTGCAGACAGAAATGTGCCTTATGTGGCGTTTGAATATTTTTCTATGGCTCACTCCACATATGTGTTTTTGCCTGATGCCATGAAGTTAAGAGCACCTGCTGTTTTCTGGAGATTTTATTGTAAAGTTTAATCTCAAATCAATGAAAAATAAATCCCTGCATCAGTGCTGATCTATACATTAGTCTTTCTAATGTGTTACAATAAAAAACAGGTGTTATTTTTGTTAAAGACACACAGTGATGCAAATGAGGTGTAGGTTTAATTTTACAGCCTTGCTCCTCTGCTTTATCCGGAGTGTATTCCTCTGCAGGGGCAAAAAATGAACTCTTAAATTATATTACAACCAATTTCAACTCGTGATAACTGATTTCACAGTTAGAGGAGGATAAAAAACCTTCTTCTATTGGCATAATTTTGCAACAGGGATATAAAGTTGAGCATGCACCAGTCTCTCTCCGACCCTTCATATCTTAAGTTGTTAGGTGTAGACGGCTCACTGCTGCATGTGTGTGATGTAGTGACATCTCCCCCCTCCCAGATATTCTGCAAGAATGCCTTCAGTCTTGACACGTATAATCATTCGATAAACATTTTGATTGGAAACGTCAAAAACAAAAAAACGCCACAGCAGTGTTGCGCCCGCCGACCAGATGTCATTTAGACCACATAACATAACTGAGACTTTACAAGTTGCATCTTCCCATATACTGAACACGTGTGTTTTTAGCAGAGAGACAGCTATTTTGTTCCAAGTGACGGGATGCTGTCAGGCGAAATCTACAGATGGGGGGTGGCAGTGGGGTGCACGGGTACGAGTCTCCGTCCGTCTCTGAGTGGTGTTAGAGGTGGCGGTGGAGTGTCTGCGAGACTCCATGATAAACAAGATGAGAGGAGGTAAACAACAGCAGGCCTGGTAAAGGTAGAGGAGGGGGGCGACAGAAGGGTGGAGGACGGCAGGAGATAATAAATGTGGCAGCACATGTTGTGACATCTGTCTTTCTAAGTGTTATCTAATTTGCTGTAGAATATTTCAACAATGATGAAAACTAACAGGGATATGCCATATGAGAGTGTTTTTTGTATTTGTTGCTTCAATGAGAAGTTTGTGATAAGTTAGTGACATGTCGTGATGCTTGGCTTTCTGTCACGGGACCCTGTGGTTTGGCTTTGCACAGTATTATGTATAATGCATGCACACAGTGACAGAGTGTGCAACATTCGGTGAGGTAGACTGGGACTTGACGACAGTGGGATTCATGTAGTTCGGTGCATTGGTCTTGTATTTGAATGAAATGGATTTGTGCTCACGTAGGAAAAAACGTGTGGCCTTTCTCCGTCTCTCATAGAGGAGAAATACTGAAAATCGGTGCTCAGCTGAGTCATCAAGAGCAGACAGTGGGGCATCACCTCCACCAGGTCCCTGTCCTGAATGAAAAAGCTGTGGATGCGGAGCCAGGCAGATTAACGCGAGCCAGTGGAAAACACTGATGTGCCACACCGACTACTTGAAAAAAAAACCCTCTCAAGCTTTTACATTTTGAATTTCATTTGCCAGCATCTGATTTTTAGTTTTTTATAAAGCCGACACAGGTTTGTCCAATGTCAAAGATTAAACTTGAGTACATGTAGGATTTTATTCAGGAACAAATAGATCCTACGTGTTCCGACACTTACTGAACATCGACAAGGGCAAGGGCTGTTTTTTCTCTCCCTCCTCTATTAGATCCCCGTGTCCCTCTGGCTGCTGTAAGTGAACAGTATTGCTAACATTAAAGGATTACAGATGAAAAAAATTCTAAATATGTGTATCTTCACAGGAACTGTATAATTGTACAAGTAACCTAAGTGGCTTATTTTGATCTCTATCATTCATTCTCTCACCAAATATGTTTTCGTCAAAATAATTGGACATTTTTTACTCCATAGCATAGTTGTGCATAATTAACTTTCACTTCAAAATGCAACAGCTATGGTAAGTAGCCCGTGTTGATTTTTTTTAAATCGCACATTAATATGTAGATTTAATTGGAATAGCCTTGGTGGCCACGTGTTTGTGACACAGGTCTGGGATCAGGTGGAGGAATTAGTGGAGCTCATTGTTTTTTATGAATCAAATGACGATTTGTACAGTGGCAGTGTGAAGATGGTTGCCTTTATTTCCATATCAAAGAGCCACACAGTGCAGCCGGGCAGTAATTAAAACGTGGTGGATTTGGGAGTCCCCCCGCGCATGTACACAGAAACACATATGCACATACACACACGCACGCATTTTCCCGCTCACACACAAGCACAGCGACACATGCACACACACAACATGTGCATACACACAAAGTCTCTTTCTCTCACGCACACATTCACTCACACACACACAGCATATGGACCAAGGCTGAGAACATCAGGTTGTGTGAAAAGAGTGCAGGTGTTTGAAACTGAATTTTAAACAAACAGTCGCTTCATGTTCCTTTTGCAGACATTTGGATACAGAATCCAAAGCCAGTTTAAGAAAACACACAAACACACATACACACACACAAGTTAGTTTTCTCACCCTTTCTTCTGGCAACCATTTTGTTTGAGAGAGTCATACATTAATTATATTTTTTTTCCCT